ATGATTAAGTTTTCATTAAGACAGTATTGCCTTGATTTTTCAATATTTCCAATGTTCACTTTTCAACCACGTTTACTGCCAACTATTTCTTGGTGAACCAGAAACAAAAATGATAAATGTTTAAAACACATGACGTCGTCCACCCTTGTCAAATGTAATAACATGATCGTTTCAGTTGTAATGCCTTCTTATCCAAATGTTACTTTGTTTCCTTGGTACCTTATTAGCGAACACTGAACTACTGCTCGTACTCTAAATATGAAAATCAACCACAATATTCCCTAAACCAGATAATACTAAACATAATCCAAAAAAATATTGTAACCCTTTTGTTCAATTCACGAGTTTGCTCACAGAGCACTTTGATTTAGACAAGGAATAGTTCTGCAATAAGCTGTTTGTATCACAGCTTTTCTGCGTTCAATGATTTCGAAATGCGAATCGAATGAAAATGGTCGATTTTCAGCCGATTTTCAGTCCAGTTGGGACTCGCTAAATTGCATGAAATTGAGTCTGAAGGTTAAATCGAAAATGTCGTATTCTCGGAAAGACAAAGCTATTTCAAGGAAAAAAACCACAGCCTGTTTCCACTCTTGCTAGGGGCTAGCTATATGTAAAAGACGAGTGCATTTGAATTTCTAGCCATGCCGAAGACATTTGATTTTGTTTGATTTTCTGGGAATTTGCTCTTAAAAAAGAGAAAACTATTTATATATTCTGTATTTCAACTGAATAGTGGGAGAACATTTGAACCTGAAACATGATTGCGACTCGTGTTTTCGCCGTATTTTTGTTTGTTTCTTTGTTTGTTTATTTTTTTGTTTTCTTAAACATCTTCTCGTGTTACAGCAATTTATTTTCTGGAAAATTTCTGTTTCTAGTTTCTTGAACTGTGCAGAAAACCCATCGAGGTAATGTATACTTAAGATGTTACCTATCGTAAAAATCTCGTAAAGGACAACTCCATAGCTCCATCTGTGAACAAATAAAATGAATAACTAAACATTAAGACAATGACAATCAAAATTGACATTCTACAAATTTGGTTGAAAATATTTTTCACAGTCACATTACACAATCAAGTTTTGATGTAGTAAATAGTTATACCATTCATTTCTCAAACAGCAAGCTTCATGGTTCAAACATAAAACTTGCAATCTTTGTTCAATACAATATTCTGTCGCTTATCGGGGTTGGCAACTTAGAATAGGTTTACAGAAAGTTCAGTTGTTTTCTTTTTTCGAATTCAATGTGGATCACTTGAACAATAAATAATTATTGCATAAATATCAATGAAATGAACTAATATGACAGAGATTGTTGTAGTTTTTTTTTTTTTTTTT